TGCAGACAGCACCGCCACTCCACCAGACATGACAGACGACGCCGCCGACGCCGCAACAGCCACCACACCAGCCGGAGGCGACGACACCAACATGTCAGACGCCGCAGCCACAACCAGTCCACCAGCCCATCCAGCCGCACCACAAGCCCCGTTCATCACGCCATCACACGACGCAGCTACTCCTCCCCGAGACGGGAGACCGAAGACGCTTGGCAGTATCGAGCACAACCAGCTACCACAAGCCGCCAACACCGCTTCGCAACACCACCGCCGCCACCACCAACGCAATCTCACAGCAGCTTGACCGAGGGCTTGCAAAACCAAGTTCGTCGCATAACAAAGCAGACGGTGGCACAGCAGAAAATCCCACACGGGAACTGGGGCAAACACAGAGCATCCCGGATCGGCAGCAGCCACGACAAGCATCGCGGTTCAGCGAAACATGGACCGACCGGTGGCCACCGCAGAACCTCATCACACCGTATGTGGAGAGCAGATCACAAGTCAGACAGAGTCACACCACATGCCGCGGATCTCGCTGAATCCAACAAGCTTGCACCGGGACCACCCGCATACAACTATATGTGCTCCCACGGCACAAACAATCAAGCAGCATCCGGCATTTTGCTGGAGGACCTGATCTAACCCACAAGCATCCAGGGAGCATTTTCGGCAAATCACGCTGAGATTCCAGCAACAATGGTCTACCACATATTGTGGTGGACAACGCCACACGCCGTGCTGATCTTCGGAGTGATCAGGTCTCGTTTTCAGCATTACAAGACAGACTGGAGACACATGGCGTGAAGCCAAAGGTATCGTACACACCCCCGACAATTGGGGATGGCACGCAGGACTTTCTCTATTCCGGGTATTGGATTGGTGGCGTGACTTCAGTTGAGTATGGAAACGTGTTGCCTTAGGTTTTTATTTTGCTGCATCTTCCATACAGCTCCGCTACCCTGCAGCCGCGTCTCCGCCCCGTAACAAATGTGTTTTGGGCGAGGCAAAACAATCGTGAGAGGCAGCTGGCGACTTGAGAGTGCTTTACTATGTTGCCTTGGTATGTAGCATGTTAACATGTTTGCAAAACTTAGATGCAGCCAAGATGTTACATTGTGTACCGCAGTTGGTGTTTTCGGCTCTGTTTTAGCTTTTGGCAGTTGCTACGCAGCTCCGAGGAAACAAGGTCGACAGAGATGAGCCAGCAAGGTCAGCCACCGCACAGCATGTGGAACAGGACACCGCCCATCGGCATGCTGGGCTATGCGCCACCACTCGGCACCACCACCCCCACACCCAATCCGGCTTCATACCATGACTTCTCCTCACCCACCTATACATTATACCACGCACCCACTACGTTCCCAGCTTCCCCGCCCCAACACACACTCAACCAACCACCAACAGCACACCCACTCACATTGCCACAGCACGGTGCGACACCAGCACCAACAACAACACAACTCCCGCAGCAATCACCAACTTTACGTACCACAACACAACCCATCCAACCACACGAAAGAGGCACCGCCACAAATTCCAAAAGATTTTGTCCAGACGACGGACCTGTGGGACAATCGCAAAATTTTCAGCCTTACCCTACCACGCTACGTACAATCCACCCCATATGGCACACAGCACAAAACAGCAGGACTCGCCATAGCCACAGCACCACTGGTGGCTTTCTGGCCGGATGGTCTTCTTACTGGCTTCGTTATGCAGCAAACGGACACGACGTACACATCGCTTGCAGCAAGAGCACGAGTCGGTATTCATCATTGAGCTGCTAGCCATTTTACGCAACAGTCGTATCGACTTCGATCAAGTCGCAGCAGCCTCTTTTTGGGAACAACATCTCAACCTAGCCAAAAAGTGCCGCAATCACATCAACAAACTACTCAACAAACCAGCAGACCAGCAGCGCCAACCACCCGCATTGATGTTGTTGGCGCGGACGACAACAACAACAACAACAACTCTTCAGACCCCAACAAACCACGGGGATTTAATGATGACCTGGCCCTGCAACAGCACCGACCCAACCCGTGTTCAATATTGACACGACGCCTGAAACCAAGACCAGAGGCATCAAACGCCTACTTTCGCCGGAGCCCGGATCGGCTCGCAGCGGACCTGCCCAGGCCCATACATTGGACTCGCCGTTGCCAACCAGTCCTGACCCAACTGCAGCAAGCCCGGACGGCAATACCCCCAATTCGTTTACAGGCCTGCACTTCCCAGGCAAGATCTTGCTCGGAGCCGACAAAAAAAGACAATCTACTCTAACAACTAACACCACTGCCACTGCAGCATCCAAAGATCCCAACCCCAGCAAATGTTGCAGCAACCGAAGCAGCCAAACACTTGGTTTCAGAACAACTACTCCGGGGCCTACTCCGAAAGCGGAATTATGCGATGGTTCGGAGGCCTCAACAACATTTCGGAAAAACAACGACGGCAACGGGAAGCAATTCGTCGACGCAGCGGCAGAAGCCTTCCCCACTCTTACCACCGAACAAGAAAACAGCTTACACGCAGCAGCAATCGCTTGGGGCATTCCGTATAAGCCCATCGAAATATTCAGCAACGCCGCCTTGATCAAACTGGTTGCCATCATCTCGCAGATGACTTGAGTGACTGCTACTTACTTCAACAAACAACTGGCTCTGGCGCAAATCAGCGCAGACGTGACTTCCGCTCTAACACACACTGCCTGAACCAATGCAGAGCAATTATCCACACCTTTGCACCACATGCGGAACAACTGTCAGTCTCATGACACTTATCAAGTCGTGCTATGGCTACAAGGCCTAGCCGCTTAGCCCTTTTGCACAAATTTCCGGAAGTTCTTGACCAGGAAGACCTCTCTCTCCCTTTGTTTCCGTCTGTTTTCGTTCATACAATACCTTCGCGTTCACGGCCGGATGCAGGCCTGTTGCCTCACCTTGCGTCCATCTTCATCTTTATTCGGATAGTCAGAGACTGGGTGCGTGCACCGCAACAGTGCCACGTCCAGTTCTGTTGACAATCATTTTCATTACCTCCCTTGGTCTCCAGTTCTTCATTTTTGGTGAGTGTCTCATAGGGCACATGTCTACATAACAGGGGTGATGGACATGATGAAGCCTTCAGACATGAGAGTGCGTGGCAGTCAGTGGAAGCGATGAACTGTGGCAGGCGTTGGGACGGAAGTTCTTGACCAGGAAGTTCACTCTCTCCCTTCATTTCCCTTCTCTTTTCGTTCATGTAATACCTTCGCGTTCACGGCCGGAGGCAGGCCTGTCGCCTCACCTTGCGTCCATCTTCATCTTTATTCGGATATCAGAGACTGGGTGCATGTGCGCACAAATGCCACGTCCAAATCTCTTTACAATCATCTTCATGATCTGCTTTGGTCTCCTGTTTTCCTGCCTGTCATGTGATCATAGAAGTGTAGACGAATCAGATCTAGCTGAATCTAGCTGGCCCAACCAAAGTTCTCTTCGAAAGCTCTTTCACTCATGCACAAGTGACGTGCAATTAATGCGTATCATGTCGTTTGCAAGTGATATGCAGTTTATCAGTTTGAAAATTGGAACATGGAGCATCTCTTTTGCGCAGTTTCGGATGTTGGACCGCGTAGCATGTCGGTTGCAAGTGACGTGCAGTTTCGAATTTTGGAACGTGTAACATGTTGTTTGCAAGTGTTGTGCAGTTTCGAATGTTGGAATGCGCAGTTTGCATGTGGTTTGCAAGGTTGCTGCAATTTCTACCGTTGGAACACGTTGCATGTCGTGTGTAAGTCTAATAAGTGAATTGCAGTTTCGAATGCTGCCACGTGTAACATGTTGGTTGCTGCTATAGGATCTGAGCAGTCAAAGAAAGCTTCCTGCGTTGTCTTTCGGCTTCGTTGTGCAGTCAAGCAGAATTCTGTGGCAAGTCTTATGTCTTCCCTGGTCTACGTTGTGCAATCAACATGACCGGTAGCAGGTGCTGACCCGTGGCAGAGTTCCGTAGCAGAGTCTCCTGATCGATCCGGTTGCCTGTTCGCCGTAAAACTAGAATTGCTGCAATTCCATCCTCCACTTCCTACTCCATCTACTCCCTATGATGTTAGCACGTCTGTCGACAGCACAGGAGGGTAGTTCTATGCTTCCAGCAGGGGGACTGCCTGATCGGTAACAGTGGTAGTCCAACGAAGAGGTTGTTACAGATCACTGATATGAACTGGAAACGCCCGGCTCCCGCACTTGCTTATCGTTTTCGCTTGTGACGTCATTTATTTGGCCTTCGCTGTTCACTGATGACTCGTTGCTTTGGATGCTACTTTAATCTTCCGCTGAGAGTGAGTGCTTCAAAGTTTGTGATGCAAGCGCATGCGCACTCTTTATGTACATTGTCGGCAGTTGCGGGGCATGAAGATTACTGCTGATTCCTGACCCGTACTGGTTCAACCTGACTTGGAGTGATATACCCGACTTTCTAGAACGATTTGATGCTTGCCGACACATTGTGTCAAGTAAGTGTAAGTAAGCAATGTGTGTGTGTGTGGTGCTTGCGTTTGTGTGTGTGTGTGTGGTGTTTGCGTTTGAGCTTGTTTGTGTGTTTGTATGCGTTTGTGCGTGCATATGTGTGTGTGTGTGCGTGTGGGTGGGTGTGCATGTGCATGTGCGTGCGCGTGCGCGTGCGCGTGCGCGTGCGCGTGCGAGCCTGCCTGCGCGCCTTCGTGCCTGCGTGCCTGCGTTGTCTGCGTGCCTGCGTGCCTGCGTGCCCGCGTGCTCGCGTGCCCGCGTGCGCGTGGGCGTGGCTGTCTCTCTCTGTCTGTGTCTCTGTCTGTGTGTGTGTGTGTGTGTTTGTTTGTGTGTGTGTGTTTGTGTTTGTGTGTGTGTGTGTGTGGGTGTGTGTGTGTGTGTGGGTGTGTGTGTGTGTCGTGTGTGTGTGTGTCTTTGTTGCGTGTGGGTATGATTGATTGCGCTTGTGATCGTGTCCGCGTCGGTCCGTGAAAGGGCCTGGCTCAGGCCTCCGGATCACCGCCAGCACCTGCTCCAGATATTCGACGTGGAAACAGATCTGCGCCGTCCCGGTCTTCAAGCAACCAATCTTGGACACTCGAATTGTGGTTGAGTCGAGTCTTGCGCACATTCTTGCAAGTCATATGCAGGAGTGAGCCTTGCTTGATTCGTTGAACCCAGGACGTCGAGCTCTGCCGGAAGGAGCCGAGGTGGACTTGATCTTGAGGCTTGAAATGTCGTGCCAGTGCCTCTAAGCGTGCGCCATCGACGCAGGGTCATGGTAGTTCAGGGATGTGACAGGTTGCCGATGAGCATCGAGGTCAGCACGTGAGTTGCACACTTTCGTGACAGACATGGAAGCGGCTTCACGACTTCGGCTGAGGACTGGAATGTAAAGCAATTCCTGTTGCGCGGAAATCTCGCACATCTCCTCTGAATTCCAACAAACTGCCACCCTCTCCAGCTTGCAACTCAGAGTGAGGTTGAGCAAGAAAGCAACAGAGCTGCCACCCGTGCATATGTGAATTAGGCGATGAGTTCTCGCGAGATTCTCGAGGATCTTTCGATGACTGGAACTCAAGCCTCATGCGTCACGGTCACAAGTGTGCTGGCCTCGTAGGCAGCGTGAAAAGCATCAGGCACGGCCGCACCTGGCCGGAGCAGATGGCAGGCCTGGTCGGCGGCAAAAAGGCCCGATTGCACATTGTGAAATAATATATACAAGCCACCCCGGTTTGTAGATACTCTTTAAAATTCTTTAAGATACACACATTACATCACGTCACGACACCGTCACGTTACAAGGGTCCGCACCTGTGGAAGATACTTCAAATGAGCAGCTCAGGCCAGCGACACTCCAGCTTCTCCCACACAGCGCATTCCATTCACCAGAACCAGGCATTGAGTCAGCGTATGACATCATCCAGCCATATGCTTGATCATGACTCCGGCCTATCAAGGTCAAGAAACGATCGGGAAGAGCTTGAGCCACCACCCTCAGCAAGGTGCGCAGATCCGCTCCCACTCTTCCATCACGGTAAGATGTTCAGCTGGAAGGATCGACACCTCGGAGCAGAGCAGTGCCAACAAGTCTCCCCAAATCTCAGAGGCGCAGTATCGGTTACGGGTTGCAAGCCACTTTGAGGTTCTTGCAGCGTTCCAAACCCAATGGGTGCATCGCACAGCACTGAGGATCGCAGGGTTCGCAGCTTGTCTCCGCGAGCGGGGGATCGCAGTCAATCTCCCCTCGACGCGGGCAGGCACCAGCGGTTTCGTGCTTTCAGAGTCGTGAGAGCAGCGGAACGAGTGCGCGAGTCTCTGCGAAAGGCTGCGGCCTGCAGGGGACCCGAGATCGAGCGGCCTCCAGGACTTCGGACTGCGAGTGACGTGCACGTTCTCTCAGAGTCTCTGCTTTTCGAGGCGCCTGGATGGCCCGAGAGCAGCGATCTTATAGTCGTAGACGCGGAGAGGCGCCCCGGGCCCCGAATTTCCTGGGTACCGAGGTGAGAGGGTGCACCTCCAGGCGGGTGGCTCGTGTTCGTTCCAGTTAGGGCTCCCTCGCAGCTCCGCAGCTCCAGCCAGGTGCATGCTGTTACATCGAGATCAGATGTGAGATGGAACTCCAAGTTCCACAGGGAGCCGCAAGCCACCGCAAGAAATGCTTGCCCTTTCAGAGCGAGGCATGAGAGTCTCGCAGGACTCGGGCATTGAGGAGGCGCACGAAGCTGACGCAGGTGAAGGTGAGACCGTGGCGGTAGGATGGGTGCATAAAGGAGCAGCGAATTCTTTACGTTTTTGATGGATCGTCTATCTACAACATTCGATAACATTCGCAAGTTCGGTCCTGAAGTGCTGAGACTTTCGCCGCCTCGCCCTCCTTCGTCTTTGAGTTTGATACTTTTTTGCATTAGCCAGAGCATGAGATAACGAGACACTGGTAGATGTGATTAGCATTGATTAGCAGCAGTAGCAATGCATATAGTCATATAGTCCTACAAAAAGGTCGCTGCCGATAGTCCCGACAGTTTGTTCTGCAAGACGTGTCCGTTTTTGAACAATGGTTTTTGCTATTCGGAGCCACTCTGATCACTACATGTCACGACAGCTTATCGTGAGAGAGCTTGCGCACACGCCTCACCCAAGCTATGGAAGCTACCGCAGGGTTTCTGCGGCCGGGCCTCACCTGTTTGGGGACGTCTTGGATGCCGAGAAGGGTTTTCAAGCTTGTCAGAAATCGCACTGGCTGAGACCTGTGAGAGAAGCTTCACTTCCCTCAGCTCGGCTTCTTGGCTTCCTTCTCTCAAATTTGATGCGGCACGGAATTTTGGCCATGGAACCTTTTCAGCCGACCCGACGATGTGGACCCGACTCCCAAAAAGCTTTGCTGCTGCTAATCGCTGAGAGCTCAGCGGAGATTGCGGCATCTTTAATACGCGGTGGTGCCCCGCTTGCATGGCTGGATTTTGTTGACCCGGATTTTGCGCATGCATCCGCGGGATACCTGTTAAGCTGGATCGCAGCGCTGTCCGTCCGGGCAGCTGTGGAGCGTGCATGCTTGTGCCACCGGTGCTATCGGCTAACGTATCCAAATAATAAATGTCAAATATAACTGTTGCCACAACGCCCTTTAAACAACGTTAAGCGTGTGAACATACTTGATGCCAGCAGTAAGGAGGCTTGCTGTGTGAACGCTTCGTCTCTCAACGTTGTGATGCTGATGTCGAAGCTTTGCCCACAGCGCGTCCCTGAAATTAGTAATTTGACGAAGTTGAGCAAACCACTCCTCTCCTACAGGCGCAGGCGCAGCCAACCTGTTTTGGGCTTTGTTGGATGATGGTCTGCGGGCAGTGTCGTTTCGGAGGCTTTTGAGAAGCAACGGAACGAAGATGTCGTGAAGCTGAGCCCAGCTTCAATCAGTTGCATCTCCGAATGCCGCGACATTCCGTGATATTACACGGGAAGACTGCCTGCCTGCCCAGCGCCGAAGCCCACCAACATACGGCTCCTGCGATGAAGTCGGACTTTACAGATAGTTGCCAGAGCTGCGGTAAGATACGTCTTGCGCGACACCCATGCAGCACAAACCTGCACCATCAATCCAACTTTCGGAGGCCAGTCCCTGAGCCCCAGCGAGAGGCGGAAGGCTGACTGCTTGGTCTCAGCAACGGGAACCGTGAACGCTATCAGATCCTGCAGGCATGGCACATCCCACCTAGTGCAGCATGGGGCTCTCCGCACAGTGCAGTGGCATGAACCTGAATCTGATCATCAAGCTGCGTAAGCAGCTCGCCAAAACGACAATGACGTTTGCCCAATTGGAGCCTGAGGCCTCTCCGCGCCCAGCGACAGCTCCAGCTGTACAGTGCTTGGTTCCAGTCGGCATTTTCATTGGTGTCAGTGCGATCATGTCGTTCAAGGAAAGCCTTGCCGGTGGAGACACGAACTTCTCGGAGGTCTGGCTGTGCACATATTCTACAAGGTTCGAATTGTTCCAAATGCCAAATTTGCAGAGCACCTCAAGCCGAATGAATTGGAGAAGGGCAGTGCAACAGTAACGTAACAAGTCTCTGCATGACGTCCTTTTAGGCTTGGCTGTCGCATCTTGCCAGGCTGGTTCACCGGTGTGAGGTGCGCAGCTGCAGCCCTCATTCACAGATGTGTCAACATTGACTGCACTAGTACCGAACACTTGTGCGGATTTTGAATGTGAACAAACCCAATGCTGTTTCTGAAACTCTACTAGCTGGCTCACAGACATGCAGGCATGCCAGTCATGACTGGCCCTCGGCTGAACCCAGCTTGCAAGCCGATTCGAAATCACGCACTGTGCATGAAGAAGAACTTTGAGGGACACAGTGCAATGTGTAGGTTGCGCAGAGCAGACTGCACGAGACTGCATGCAGTTAGATTAAGTTTACTTACAGTAGCACCGCTATCTGGGCCATGTTCTCCTTCCGGGAGGCCTGTGGAAATTCATTCCAATGCTTGAGCTTCACGAGAATCTGTTTCTGGTCAGGGTCAGTCAATGGATTCCTTGTTTGCTGATCGGTCTGGGCGAGGCCTTGGCAGAAGACCAATTTCCAACTGTGTCCGATTCCGAGAGCTTGTCTGGGACAACAGTAGCTGCAACAGTACACAGTTCTCACCAACCGGCAGAGGCTATGATTGCAACATGCAGAAAGGCAGAAAAAGGATTGGAAGTGATGTGGAGGTGCCCAAGTGGCGAGAATGAGATCGATCCCAGTGATGGTTGGGACCTGGATTTCTGCGTGGAGGCCACGATGCGACCGAAACCACTGGTTGCGGGCCTCGAAATCCGAAAGCCGCAGGAAGCGGTGCGGCCTGAGCTGCGACTGTACTGCGGAGTGCCATGCTCAGCTAGCAAGGAAGCTAAAGTGCCCGTTCAATGAACTGTTTCGAACCGTTTCAGTGTTCGACGCAAATACAGACGGGAGTCGTGCGTCGTTGAGCAGTTGACCTTATCGAGCTACACACGGAGAGACATAAGCGTACTTCTCGCTGCCAAGACACGCCCTGACGTGACGCTGAGCTGTAACGGTGGTCGCAAGCTCCTCGCCCATCGGCGTGTCCTCTCAGAGGCCTTTGACTGGCTGTGACTGGATGATGGGTAGATTGTAGAGCTTGTCTGGGCGGAGCGTGATACACAATCGCATATGGACATGTTCTTAGAAGGAAGCAGCCTTGCGTGTGATGTCCTAATCAGTCCAGTCCTAATCGTCCTGTTGGCGACTCGGAATGCTGGAATGTGCAAGAGTTCTGGTTGCATTGGTCGTGCTCTTTGTGCACTTGGCTTCGGCTACGCTTGCTGTACACATGTGACAAGAGGGACTGCTGCTTTTCAAGGTGCCAAGGCACAGACATTCCTCGCCACAGATCCCACCTCGCGGCTGGACAGCCGTGACGGTTCAGTATGTGTGACTCACTTCATGCTATCGTGTATTGTGCTTTATGTTTTTCCCTCATCCCATGCTTTAGGCAGCGTGTCATGTTGCGCTCCAGACCAGTCGGTGTGCTCAGCAAGCCTGCCAGGTCAGCTACTTCGAATCGCTGTTTGAAGGCAACTTCGCAGAACGTGGAACTGACCTCGTGCAGGTGGAAGAGGCTCTTCCATCTTTACGACGCATCAGGTTCACATGCACTGTTTCGAATGATGCGGAAGGTTCTTACTCGCAAAGTCCCAAACTATCAGACTTAAGCTTGAAGCTTGGGTCACATGTTCTGACCTACCCTGCGAAAAGTCCAGGTTGCATCGCTTCGTGCCCTCATGCCGGATCCATCAGACACGGTGGCATGTAGATATTGGGACAGCACCCCAGGTATGCAGGCTCGGGGTAGGGGCAGAGAGGCGCTAAACTTTGCAGGCAAACAACAATATAATGTACAGGGAGTAGGATGAGAGCGTGTTAGGTCGGCGGATTTCGGTTCTCAAGCCACTGTGGTCCCTTTCTTCCTCGATTACCTAGTTCACCAGATGTTCGGTGATCAAGCTTGCCCTGGCCGAGTCGTTACAAAGAGACGATTTGCTTGACACGAACGGAGCCACAAAGCTTGAAACCCTGCTGAGTACCTGCAGCTCCCAGCAGCAATCCGGAGGGTCTGTCAGCTTGTCAATCTTCACTTAGTCTTATCCAAAACATCATCCGAGACAGATGCTGAGGTAGATGCATCTGCGCAGCCTTGCATTTGTGTTTCGGGGAATTGCGAAGTGCAAGTGTCTGGCGTGCAACCCGAACTGAGCAGAGGAAACCTAGACCGCGCAAGTGTGAGCACCAGGCACGAGACTAAGTATACATGAGGGATGCATTGTCAGAGTGGCGGCGCCGACAGTGCCACGTAGAGGTTTTGCTGTGAATGACTGCAATGAGAAGCATTCCTGCAACACACGTCGATTCTTCATGCGAACAGGCAGTCTCTTTTAGTCGACCATTCAGAAATTAATGCAGCACGCGTAGCCATGAGTATCTTACTGCACTATCACGTACTAGTATGTGGTCTTCACCAGTTGGGGACATGGAAGAGTCGTGTTGGAGCGTGCGGAGCTTCACCCGACAATTTCGGTGACAGGACTTGGAGATTTTCTTGGAAGTCATTCGTTGGATCTACTGCCGCAGCGCAACCAGTGACAAGGCCTGCATGGGTACTCAGGTGTCGTAGACTGCCGTTGCCCTGAACGCAGGACATGGCATTGGATCTGCTACGCTTGGCAGAGTTTTATGGCATTGCTGCAAGCTTGGTCACAGATCTGTTGCTCTAACACCTGCAAGAATAAATCCGGGTGACAATGTGTGACGCCAAGTGTGACAAGGATGGCCTGATAGATCATGCAGCTCGTGTGCTTGCATCACCAGCTGTGGGTCCTGAGCTAAGTCAGAGTCAAGGGCGAAATGTGGCATCGAGACTTTCTTTTTTGAAGGTCGAAGGTCGCAGGCCGCAGGTAGGGCAGGTACTGTAGCTGCAATTCCCCGCCGATCAGATTTGCAAGGTGTTGATGACACGGTTTCGGAGCCAGACTCAGGGCCTGGCGCTGACGGACAGGACACTGCCGGGCTGCCGCGGACAAAAGCTCTTCGATTCGGCGACTGAGACGTCGGGAGCGGGACAGTCGTACCAAATCATGAAACACTCCCCCTTTTCGAAGGAGGCGACATGCAGCTTCAAAGTGTTGCAACAGTAGACGGTCATGTAACTAGACCGACCAACACCAGGTCCCTTTCTGCATCCACTCCGCTTGTCACTCAAGCCCTTGCCCTTCCGCTTGCATTCAAAAATGTGAGTACATGTGAGTGCCGCTACTGTTTTTTACAGCCATGATTTGACCACACAACAGCACACCTCGACGACAGCAAGACAAAGCAAGACAAAGGGCCAATGAATTCTCTTAACTCCCCTCGACAGGTTCAGTTTCTTGTTGACAACCATTGAAGGCGTCAATCACGTTGCGACCTGAAGCTTGTCGGCAAAATCTTGAACAACTCAGCGTGCTCTTCACATTCTCTGGCACTGTACTTGCCTCTTTTCAGTTGTTGCAGTCGCCAGAATGGCCTAGCAAGCCATCCTTACGGCGATGACCGGCAATGAGCTGCGGAACCATGCCTTAGCACACAAGCGCTTCGTCTCGCACACCGACATGTGATCTTTCACAAACAGGTTTCAGGTACATAGAGTGTTCGCTTTTCAATAGTGCTCGGGGCATGTCGGTAATGTGCTTGCTACGTCGCATGTATAGAAAGTTGCAATGACTAAACCGATGTGGGGAAAGCGTTTTTGGGCCTTTGTGAAAAGTGGGTCATTCAAGAGATTGCCCGCTGTTGGACCGCGTGACGATTCCGTTGTGAAGACCTTCGCCTTACATCATCCGTGTTGTGACCTAGTTCGTTACCTAGCGTTGGTGGCGCAGGTATGTCTTGTGCAGCATCGAAACTATCGCAAGTCTCTACATAGTTCTTGAACATTGATGGGCCGAAGCGTTGACTTCCGCATAAAACGGTTGGGTTACATCTTCTGGTGAGGTTTGATTCGAATCATTACTCAATGCTCCGCAGTATTCACTTTGCAATCCCTGTCTTGCTGTTGAATGTGGCTTCGTTTCTCAACTTTGAGATAACTCGGCTGAGATCAGTCACCTAAGCCTGTGCCGGACATCTAACTTGTCCGATAATTCACTCCCACAGTCACTCAATGCATGCGTGCTGAACTTTCCGGCGATCTGAAATCACCGTCACGCAGGCGATTCGAAGCTCCATTCAATCAGTTGAGATCGTACTTGAAGCTTAACAGTTAACAAAGCCCACTGGCTCCGAGGCAACATTCCAGTCAGCTCGCTCCTCTTGCAGACTGTGATCCCAAGCGAGTCCAAAACTCACCAAACATGGCAATGGTAGAACATTCGAAGCAACTGTGGCTCTGCAACGAGGCGTTGTGAATCGATTGCGCAGGAACATGGGGCATCGCCACTACTCTTTGCACATCTCTGTCGATTCTCCGCCGGCTCGTGCTGGCTATTTCAGAACTTTCGAAATTCGGTGACTCCTGTGAGCTTCAGCTGTTCGGCAAAGTTCCGCCGACTCCCTGATGTGTGCAGGACTTGAGTGGCGAGGATGGACCCACAGCCTTGAGCCTTCAATGTGCAAAGGATTCATGATAATAGCTTCTCCGTTTGCGTGAACAGCTCAGTAGCCAGCTGCTGAGGTGATGGAAGAAGCGGGCGGGGTTGACAGAACTGTTGTGGTCAAAATGAAAAACGTCTAGAGCCGATCACATTTCTGTGATCTGTACATATGTGTATCATATGTGTGCAATAGTCACTCACCAAAGGCAGCCGGCATTGTGTCTTCACCCCAGTGCTGCTTCGCAGCATGTGAGAGTCAGCTTGAACTTGCTGGATGCTCACCATCGAGTTGCGGGCACAAAATATCAATCTTTCAGATACATTGCAGTGGGTTGCCGATAATGCTGATCCTGTGCTTCACGTCCCTGGACCCTGGGACCCTGACAGGCGGAAACTCCCGACGGAACGATCTGGTGAAGCTTGCTCTCCTGCACGCGGACATGCAGCGCCCAAAGCCGTTTACATTCTGCCGCAACGCTATTGGCCCACTGCACTCCTCGTGGTCTTATGGAGCTTCTCGGAGAGCACGATTACCAAGGCAAGCACAAGGCTTGCGCAGGAAAAACCTTTGAATTAGTTTCACTAGGTTTCACTGAGTTGCTCACAAGAAGGATCACAGGTGCTTTAAGCTCTATGAAACGCACGCCAAGATCAGGGCACGAGAGTTTCCTGCAACCTGCGGACATTTGCCACGCGCGATGACGCGATGCCATTGGTCAGTTGTGAGCAACTTCGCATGGCGGTCAAGCCGATGGCAATTATTTTCAACCGTTTCTAACGCTGCACGCTCTTTGAAAACGTCATGCTCTCGAATGGTGTCGTCGTGGTATCCCGGATTGAACTCCCAAGAAATGTAAGACACGAGTCTCGGAGCGTGCTGTGCTCACGTTAGCTAGGTGCATGGCAGGGAGCATGGCAGCAGCGGAAAGCTAGAAAAAGCGATGGCCGAATGGATCCGCGGTGTGTCGTGGTCAATCACTGAATCATTGTTGACGGAGTTCGAGCAGAGCTTTAGGCTTCGGACAGCAGTCAGCAACGGGTTTTGTTTACGGAGCGCTTGCCTTCTGTGTAGGCACGGAATCGCACGCTTACATTATGATCTGGGGACTTTTTTGCGAGAAGTCCAGAGCAGATAGAAAGGTGTCTGTGTGCGAATAGAGAAGTCTACGAATTCTACGATCGCTGACAAGCGATGAAAGGCTCGATTGGCAGGCCATTACTTATCTGTAACTTGAATAAGCAGCAGCATCAGCAGCACACGTTGCCTGAAGTCATGTGGTCCGTCATAGCACATCGAGTCGTAGGAAACGAAGCACATAGTCGACACAGCAGTTGCACGTTTGGACACAACGGCCGAGAAGGATGCAGCGGAGGGGGCGTTCCTTCCTCGACCTTCCATAGATGACACAATTACGGCAAGGGCAAGGGCAGCCCGGCCAGAGGGCCAGGCACGTTCTGGGGCCCATGGACGCTTCTTGGAGGCTTTGCTGCTTGAGGCGACCTCAAAAGCTTGGCAGTTCGACGCACAGGGAGCTGCCAACACAGTATGATCTGTTGGAATTCTGAAGCTGAAGCACGTGGCTCTCCTTGCCGTGAGCGGCCAGCAGGCAGTGATTAAGCTTCAAGGAGGTGAGTACGAAGGGCAGAGCCTGTCGAACATTCTATGGGCGTTTGCTACGGCCTCTCCCAAACCCAAGCCTTTGCTGGCAATGCTAGCACAGGTCCACAGATAGGACGACTGGAGCAGGAAGCTGAGTGCACAAGGTGTGACGAACCTGTTGTGGGCGTTGGGCGTCCCAGGTCATTCCAACATGGTGACCTGTGAAAGCTTGACCATCCAGGCGTTGAGCATGGTAACTGAGCTTTCCCCACAGAACTCGGCCAACATTGCACAGGCCCACAGCACTCTTTTGCTCCAACACCAGTTGAGCATTCAAGCAACCAGCAATGCTGCAATGCTTTGTGCTGACGAGCTCTCCGCACAAGGCTCGGCCAATTTGGCCTGGTGTTTCACCACTCCCTAGCTCCAGAGCGTGACTCTCATGTCTGCAACCGTTACCCGGGCTGCATGCACAATGTCTGCACTGGACAACCAGAACTTGGTCAACATTGTTTGATGTCTTGGGCGTTTGGCCCCTGTGCAATGACCCTTCCTGCATGTCCTGAGATAGCAAATGGGGCGCCTTCTGGAGTTCGACCGACAACACGTATCCAACACATTTTAGACATGTGCAACTCTCGTGTCTGACGGTCCGACAGTCATTACAGCCTTGACAAATGCAGCGGTGTCCAACATACTTTGCTTCAATCCGCAAGATCTTGCAAACACATTGTGGACGGCTGGCACGCTCATGGTTGAAGGGCAGCCTGTCTGGGATGCATCGGCTGCTCAGAGCGCACGGATATGCACAGAGATGCGACCCCAAAACCTTTCAAACTGGGCATGGTCATTCGCACTGGTACAATATGGGAACATTCCATCGATGGGCCTGATAGCTCAAGCTGCAGAGACTGCAACCATTGTGAATGAGCTCGATTTGCAAGGTTTAGCCAACATGGCATGGGCACTTTCAAACATGCAGTCGGCCGACAGCCTCACCTTTGCGGCCTTGGGCAACCGGCTTCTTGCCAGCCCGTTGCTGGACTGTGTGGATGTTCGAGCTGATTGGAATCGTGCAGCTAACGAGCTAACACACCTTTGCCAACTTGTTTGGGCCTTTTCCTTCGCCAGCCGCTTGTGGCCGGAGCTCGAGGACAAATTGCAGCACACGCTGCGATGCATCGGAACATACCTCGATAACAGGGATCCACCCGACTTCGTGACAGCTCAGCATCAAAGATGGTCGAGCAAAGAGCGACCAACCCTGGTCATGCAGCTGGAGGGCATCAGCGTTGTTTTCAAACCACCTTACTGGGAAGTCGATGCCAAGGGCCAGCTCTCTGGAAATGGTTTGTATTTGTCATCCTACTTGCAGGACTCCCACCCATCTTCGTGCGTGGTGCACATGGCTGCTTTCGAATATGGTTTCGTGCATCGCTTGGACATTCCCAGCTCTGGCTTAGTTCTTACAGGGACAAGCTTTCGCGGGCTGGCAGGGCTGCAGTGGCAAATGCACACGTACTCGATCTGCCCACGGCTTGGCACAGTGAGCTCTGTAACGACAGTAGCGAGCTGCATCTGTGCTCTGCACTGAGGCCGTGAATATGTTGTGCTTCTTGCTGGAATTTGGCCAGTGGCAATGCAGAAGATCAATGTCAACGTCAAACTCTCAGAGTGCTCGGGGTGCTTTCCCTGTTGGGTGTTCATGCCTTCGAGCCTTTGTCCTTAGCTCCGAGTTGGCATCCGGAATCACCTTTGAATTTGCTTAGTAACGCCTGACAGGACGTCCTGCGAGCTGTACTCAATACTTGCACTATCATTCGAACCTGATTTTCTGGGATCTCTAAGCACTCCGTGACTTCGGCCAATGTCTCC